AACAATAAAAATTAAAGAGAAAAAGATATCACATCTTCTGTTAAATATCTGCCACATGCCAGTTACTGCTTTGATATCTCCAATTGATTGTGGACTTTACAATGGCATTCTGAGTCACAGATTATTTCTGTCTGAAAGAGGAGGAGATAGGGAACCTGCTAATGGTCCGCGAGGAGCGAGATCCCCAGGCTACAGTGAAGGCAAGGGGCTGGCAGGCCCCAGGACTCAGCCTAAGGACGTCTTGAATCGTTCCAGACTTAAACGCAGTCACTCCTCCCCCCCACCCCCCACCCCTCTGTGCTCCAGCGCAGAAGGCGGGCGGTTTGCTCACCCAGGTGAGTCCTGGAAAATCACTCTATCTATCGGAATCCTTCGAAATTTCATTCAGCTCTCATCACTACTTCTCTTTATTTTGGAGCACTTTAAAAATTTATGCTTAAACTCATTGAAACGAAGACACTTAAGATAAATCTTCCCCAGCTGGACAGATCGCAAGTCTCCGTTCGCAGAATATCTGCAACAAGTCTCCTTTATCAGAATGTCACCATCCAGCACCGCAAAAATAAATAAATAAACAAAAAGACAAGAAGAAGAAAGTGAAAGAGAGAATGCATGAATGAATGAATGAAAAGGAAAAGAAAAAAAAAAAACCCGCTCGCGGCAAACAGAGCCCCCTTACTCTCCAGGAACTCCACCTTGGACCCTCCTTCAGACACAGCCCTTCTCCTGGGACATCCCACCCAGCACAGGCCCCCGCGGCCCAACTAACTCACCCAGTGTATCGCTCATTCTTTTCATCTCATCCTTGACAACGATGTCATTCACCGCAGCGACCACTCCTTCCATCTCATCCACAACAGCGATGCCACCCATGGCAGCGGAGGCCCAGTTCAGAGGACAGGGATTAAACGCTCAAGACCCCGGGCTTAAATAGCCCCCCTGCAGGCTGGCCCAGCCCACCTCCCCCGCCCCCCGGGCCCGCCCTGGGAGGGGTTTCCCTGCTGGATTCCAACTTCCCCCAGGAGCTGGGGCTTGCTGTGCGGGAACCACGGGACCCACCCACACAGCCTCAGCCACTCTCCAGCCACTTCCCG